AAAAATACTCATGGCCCGCCTTTCAATTAAGATCGCATTAGATCCGCTCAACTCACAACGCGACCGTATCAGGTCCGCAAAGCCCTTGATCGCATAGATGACAAATCCAACCTCGCCTCAGTGAAGGTGTAGTACTGGTGATACACACGAGCGTCTTGAGCTAACACTCTCAAGTCGTGGGGCCACCCTACCTAGCACATAGCTAATGCCCAAGACAACAATGGGGTAGTAGGAGAAACCTTGAATGACTTGAGAGCGCTAACTCAAGATATCAAAGCTTCCAGGCTGGAAACGCCTAAGAATGGAAGAGGAAGGACAAACAGTTGTCAAAGAGGAATAATTCCTTGTGAAAGGAAAACAATCTCGCATTAGACAGAAGTGCACGCCTCCTGACCAAGATGAGCCCTTAACCTCATAACATTGCCTGCCTTCATCAAAGTCTAAGATTGCGCCATCTGCAAATTCCATTCAGCTCGCCTACCCGCCTCCAATGGCTTGCGCAGTCAACTTTCATCATGAAACGCCTTCTGCCCATGAAGCCCAATCAAGTACGAATGCAACGGAACGCTTCAAACTTGCTTTGCCAAACGCGGCCCATCCTCCAAACTCGCGACCCGCATTGCATCAGACCCGCTTGGTCCCCCATCCAGCTTCCAGCCGCATGCCCACTTTGCTCAAGTCTAGATAAACCCATCAAGGCAACACTCCTTTTAAAATAATAAGTGAAACTCTTCCGAGTAGATTCAAAACCGCGTTCAGGGTGCTCCAGACATTCATGTTTACCAACAGAGTAGAAGGAAAGTTTATACATCCAATTTAAAGCGTCCAACATTTATAGTCTACTTGATGCCTTTCTCACTCCTAAGTTAAGTATTTTCTTCGAGAACATATACCAAATATCATAATGGGTCATGTCATGAAGAGGTTCATTACAACCATGCTTGACCTGCAACATAACATGCTCTAAACATATTGCACACAAGTCAATCACTTCTTTCATGGATACATGAAGACACACTCCTTCCACTTACAGGCAAGGCTCGATGGTCGCCTTCAAGCGACGCATCCCCTGGGAAATGCTTCCCGCTTCCAAGTAATGCTCCCTCCGGGGAACGATTCCCATTCATGCATTCCATCTTCGGGCAAGGCTCGAAGAACGCTTCCGAGCGAGGCTCCCTCCAAGGAATGTTTCGCTCCTCCAGGCGATTCTCGAATACATCTCTGGCCTCCGGGTTAAACTTGAGAACACACGCCTCCTAGCGTGCTAAAAGATGGAGCGCCTCCCATGAGGTTGGAAGATGGAGCACCTTCCACAAGGCTAGTAGCGAAGCGCAAACCAATAGAGAAGCACCTCCTAGCAGGCTGGAATGCGGTGCGCCTTCCACGGGATGAAAGACTAACACGCTCCTCCTAAAAACGCTTCCTATGAAGCCGAAAGACTACTGCACTTCTCAAAAACCGGAAGACTTTAGGGCTCGTTTGCTTCATGGATTTGAAAAATGAAGGTTTTGGTTAAAACCTGGGTTTTACAAAACCATGGATGTATGATGGAGTTGCCCCATTTGTTTTTTTGTACAAACTATCGTTTGCTTGTTGAATTTCATGATGGATTTGACATTGTTATATTTGTTGTTGTATTAGGAATTTACCTTAGTGCCCTTATTGACTATTATTTATTTTTACATTATAATTTTTGTTATAAAACAATTTTCATCCAATAGCTTCGTCCCACTACCACAATCGAAACAAATGAACATCAGTAATCAATAACTTCATATTATACACACAATTAGACAATTCCTTAAGGTTTTCAATGTTGCAAAGTATACTTTGTGATTAATCATGTAGGGTTTGCGTACAATGTATAATAATGAATATTGAAAGCAAAATTAATATTTGGTCATTAGTAAATGAAAGATGATAAGTTGGTGATTAGTGAAATAAGTAGGGTTAAAATTGTAAAAAGTCACCATGGACTTTCTACCCCAACACAAATCCCACCTCTTGGGGTGGAATTCTCAAGTCCGTGGAGTCCACGGATTTGGACTCTCAAAGTCCGTGGGGGCCCACAGATTTATTCTTGCTAAACCCATCAAGCAAACGACGGATTGTGTACAAAGTCCATGATGCTTGCTTTTTACGTACCAAATCCATGATGAAATCCATGAAGCAAACGAGGCCTAAAATACTTTTTAGAAAGCTGAAATACTAAGCTTCCTAGAAAGCAGGAAGACTAAAGGGTTTCTCTGAAAGAAGAAAGACCAAACACCTCATAGTAGGGATAACATCGACAAGAAGAAAAAACTTGATTTTGCCTCACATGGGTAGGACATAGGCAAGACACATGAGCTCACAACACATATGGGACCGACTTTAGTAAGACACAAGAGCGTTTGGAGTTGAAACTCTCAACCCCGCTTTGCCATAAAGCGCAATCTATGCCCAGATTCAAAGACCGTCTTAGCCTGCCATGCCTCCAGGGCAATCATCGTGAGTCGCCTTCAATAAGTTCACCTCACAAGACATGCCCAAGAACAATCATCGTCTCGGCTCACTGCATCTGGCCCACAACCACCTTCGATGGCCCGCTAAAGCTGTTAGCCCGCTTCGCATCCAACCCGCTCCACCAACGACGGCCCGCTTCACACTTCCGGATTATTCACCTCTGCATTGGGTTGCTACTTCAACGATTCACATCCCGCGCCCCACGAAAGATTCAGGCCGCCCTTGAATCGGGCCCACATTCATGGGTCTGGTCCGCAACAACTAGGGCTTGTCTTTGAGCTTCCCATTTCACAATGCAGGCTAGTCCCCAGTCCGGCTCACTTTGCCTTTAATCAACGCCAAGCGCGAACATCACTCTGTGTGCGATTGTGCATGCGGTTTCGCTTCCAAACCCTCAAGCAAAGCCCAACGTTGACGGACGGTCCAACCAAATGCGTGTCCATTTACTAAAAAGGAAATGGAGGAAATGCTTCCCATGGGTTTCGAAACCTATTTCCGTCTTGCCCACACTGAAGTGCATACCATTGGGCTACGAGACCGCTTTATGAATCAGAATGCGACTCTAAGTACTTAGAGCACTCTGCAGCTACCTCATATAAGAAAAAAAAATCCATCCCACCCTCGGCTGATGCTTCCACGCTTGTTTCAAGTCCGATCCCGCTTCCCCGTAGGCGCGACATAGGTACAGCTAGAAACACTATCCCGCCTCCCAGTAGGTGTGGCATCTAGGGCTGGAAGTTTGGTACCGATATTTGGGAAATACCAAATACCGTACCGAATTTGTCTATATTTGGTATTACCGAATACACGTATTATTTCTTGGGATTGGGATGGGGATTGAATTTCAATTGTTATTAGGTATTAGGGATTACAGGATTGGGATCGGTATATACCGAAATACCGATCAATATCGAAATATAAGCTAGTGTGTATTTTATCCTCTCAACTAGACTCTCTCATTGACTACTACACGACCCTAAACCACCAAGAGTGTCATTTAATTATACATAGATCATTCCATCACTACTAATAGTCGTCTCTCAACCTCCAATTCGTCCAATTAACGATTACCAATGACAAGAACTTGAGATGTATCCTCTCCTCCATTCTCCTTAATAATATCCTTATTCAAGACACTTTGCTTAGTCTTTTCCCCCTAAATTAAACAATAAAATCTAATTTATATATTTAATTATTAATTGCAAAAGTAATTCATTTTGTCTTCGATAATACCGATTGGGATACCGAAGTACCGATTGGGATAACGAAATATTTAGGGATTGGGATTGGGATACCGAAATTATTTAGGGATTGGGATTGGGATTGACTTTAGGGTGTCTTCGGTATTCGGAATTTCGGTATTTGGTATAGGGATATCGATACCATACCGATTTCCACCCCTAGTGGCATCGCCAAGACACAAACGACGTCTTAAGTCACAACTCTCAAGTCGTGGGAGGTCGCCCTCCCTAGCACATAGTTAACGCCTAATATTCAGCCAACAACTCACACTTAACATGCACACAAGGTCATGCCCATCTCGTGGTCCAATAGATTAATGCATACAGCTCACAGTTACGACCTACATATTAACACGCTCGACAATGGGCTAGTGGGGAAATCTCAAACGTCTTGAGAGCTCTAACTCAAGACATCGAATGCTAAACAAAGAAGCAAAGACGATGGCCGCACAAGGGGCAAACTGCATCGTACAGACTCGCAAGGGTCCAGTCCACTCGGGGGCATCCATCACTAGGAGGCATCCTGTCACCCGGATGCGTCCATCTTCGGGAGGCGTCCTGTCCACCCGGAGGCATTCATCACCGAGCAATGGTCGCACAAGGGGCAAACTCGCAAGTAAGGCCAGTTAATACACCTTGACGCATGATTTTACTCCTTCCATTCTTACAGAATACAAGAAGCAAAGGGGCAAATGTTGGGTCTAGTATTAACCCGCCTAATACGGACCCAAGCCCACCACAAAGTGTCTCACCTTGGGCCCAAGCCCACTCTAGGGTCCAGTCCACCCGGGGGCGTCCATCATCGGGAGGTGTCCATCGACGGGAGGCATCCAGTTTACCGGGGGTCTCTATTCACCAGGAGGCGTCCACCGACTGGATGCCTCCGACTCCTATATAAGGAGGCCATGCCCTCCAAACAAAGGGACTTTTCTCCCTTCCCACATTTTACCACTTATGGTTCTCTCTCTAAACCCTATCTCTCTCTACATTTCTCTATACACTATCATATATCATATTCTAACTTGAGCGTCGAAGTGTAGATCACCCCCCTCCCCCCAACTCTCCACAGGATTCTTCCACTCCCGAGGAGATCAGACGAGAGAGTCCAGATCAAGGCTCTACACTAATCCCCGACACTGATCCGGGTCAAACATCTTCCTAAAATAATTTGATTTTTTTATTTTTTGGTCTGTGACAACATATTTTAGCCCCCACCACGGGCGAATGCTTAATCATGGCTCTGTCTCTAGTAGTATGGTGAGAGGGTAACAGTATTTGAAGATGGTCAAAGATTTAAATAAACAATCCTCACACTTCTTGCTGATGATAAAGCAAAATAATTTTATTTTCTATCTTAAGTGGACTATCAATTTACAAATATTATATGGGCTATTTTGATTGACTATCTGCATGTTAAAGTACTTCAGGAAAAAGCTCCATATGTAGATTGCTCATCAATAATTTGAAAATCACTTTCATTCTCCCAAACACAGTAATTTACTTTCTCTCATCATCTCCCGAGTCCCGCCAATGGCCACCGACTTCTGTTATGACTTATGAGGCAGGGGGGCTTTGGTAATTACTCAAATGGGACTCTCAAACCTTCCAAGCGAAGCAAGACCCTTCAGCTCAAACCATTTCGTCGCTATTGTGCTGCATCTGCATTCATCCATAGTTTCAGTTTGGTCACAAGACTTCCGCTCTTGTTAACTCACCAGCCACAACAATATTGTCTTGAAATTCAAAACTATCGTTTGCAGAACAATCCATGATGAATATACATATAGAGAAGCTCCGAAACTTCACTCACAAATTATCCTCTTCGACAAATTCAACTTCTTCCAGAATGTGCTCATCTCAATGATCTCATGAACCGGACATGTAAGTGTATCGAGTTTGGGCTCCAACTAGAAGCTCAACGAGTTTTGCTACACATACAGATACATTTACAATGTGCAATCAGTCCAAGTACAAGTAAACCATTGTTAATTTTTTAGCTCTGCTGCCAGAAAGGCCATGGACAGATAGAATACTATATTGGACAGTTAAGCTCACCTGTCAGAATCCCGACAAGAGGTACAGGCTCCATTATCTTCTCAGTGCTTTCCAGTTTTCCCCTGGAAATGATAAACAATCACACAGTATTATAGAACTAGTAATCCAAGAATCACACAACTGCAAACCATTTGAAGAAAAATGGGTACCTTGTATACGTGCTAAAGAATGGATCTCTCATCAAGTAAAGTGCCCATAACAGTTTTCTTCTCCTTAGCTGATTCAACAATAGCACTATCAGAAGTTGATGAGCCACAGGCACACATGTATAAGTCTCAGATGACACAAAGACAGATTCTGACCTCATGCTCTTCAGCATCAGTAAAATTACTCTGTTGCTCCCTTCCTCCAAACCGCAATATTGACAGTGGTGTAAGACAGCCTACACCAACAAAGTCAACAGCGAGAGAAAGAAACCAAGGAACCCATGAACGAACACCATATTTCCTGATTAACAATACATATATAAGAGGTCTTGTAATAAATAGTGCCTCCCCTAGAACAAATAATACCCCAGAAACACCTCTTTCATTCAATAACTTTGAGAGCGTTGTCCGCTGAACCACTGGAGCTGCAAAAGAGCACAGAAAAAGGTCACAGAAAGCAACGCAGTTCAAATCGAACTTAGAAAAGACAGAGCTATAATGGCTGAAAAACGATCTTTCCATGGGCCCATAATAATGTACAGAAACTAACCTGGAGGCTCCATGATAGGATGTTGATGCTGAACCCAACGTAACCACTCTGGGTCAGCTACCATCCTGGCATTTTCTTGAAATCTGCTCAATGCAGACAAGGCCTTGCCTTCTGTATTCCATTGGGTTCTTCCATTCATATTCAGAAAATGGTCAGGCTCGTGATGATTCCCAGGCTTTGATGGACTTGGCGAATTTTCAATATTTGGTGTCTCTCCCCCTTGTAAAAGCATTCTATATCCACTTTGCCTATACCATGCGAACCTAACTATCACCCTGGGCCAGAAAACTATCATGTTATTGAATAACAATTTCCAGACTCAAATGGTTCAGAAAACTAAACCGAGAAATGCAGCCTACTTACTTTGTTGCTTCAGTAAGAGCAATGAAGTTCCATTTTTTATCATCCCCAAAGTACTGTTGTGCAGCAACTTCTACCAATGTCTCCAATTCCTTTATCATGGATAAACATAATGGATAAGGAAAACAGCGAGGCTCCACAGCTGCGGAAGGTGTCTGACTTCTTGGAGTCGTATCAATTATGTGCTCATTGATTGCAGTAATGACACCCAAAACCGCAGTAACTGAAAATCATTTATACAAATGTTCAATACAGTCCACTATTTCAACTTTCGTTCAACTCAAACTTATGCCAAAAGGAACTCCAAGAATGTTCATCCACTTATTCCCTAATATGCAAGAGATACGAACTATTAGCCATATTGATTGTCGCTATGACATGTGATTACTTCAAAGAAGTAAACACCTATGGGAACAAAAACAAAGTAACACCTAATGTTAACAAAAAGTTTGACAAAACCTGCTTCTGGTCCAATTTCTGACTGAGAAAACCTTTCAGGTAGAAGCCACGTCACTCCCTGTAATACAGATCCAACATTGCATAAGACAAATCATTACTGAAGTATATTGCAGAAACAGAGTTACTGTAACTAAATTAGTGAGAAGCAGAAGCTAGGTTATAGCTTTGCTCCGTGTACAAATTCATTCACAAACAAAGGAATCAGCATGCTTTCTTGTGTTTGACAAGTAAATGTACACCTTGTTACATTCTTTAACCAAAACAAGTAGACTAATGTCACCGATTGAAACAAATAGGAAGCATGAATGGGAAAACTCGTTTCCATATTGACTAAGCAGAGGGGATAACTGCAAAAATTGCAGTCAGAGCAGGCTTGTTCGACATAAACTCTTGTCCGACATTTTGGTTAAAGAATGGATTCCCAGAAAACCAATCAAATCCAGTATACAAGTCAGGACGTTTCCTTCTCCCAAGTTAGAATTGGCAATGGCAAAACAAAGCGAATCCAGACCAAGTATTCATGCAGGGATTTGGAAGCACAAACAAGAAAGGAAAAAAAGAGAAGAATTATGAGGGAACGGGGAAATTGGGGGTCGCTTGCTTACATTGGCGAGAGACTCCAACGAGTTAACGTACTCTCTATTCCTCCGCACCCAATTCTTATACGCCTCCATAGCTGTGGACCGGGAACTCGGTGGGCGTTCCGGAAATGAGTTGAAGCACCCAAGCTCGCACCTGAAACACCACCCGCCTGAATTACACCCGCCGGCTGCCGGACCGCTAAAAGAGACAAGTTTTAAGCCTAGCCCAGAAGAGGAATAAGCTAAAAGGTGAATCCTTTGTCGTTAATCACCAAGGTGGGGTTCGATTGTGTTATCGTGTCAAGGATCAACGGAGGTACTGGAAGGAAACTACGAAAATTGAGAGGCTTTCTCTAAGGACAATTTTTTATAAATTTTCTAAAATTCCCATATATATATAGGAAGGATTCTAGACCAGGATACCGTCCGACCGGAAAACAGGAAACCGGACCAAATTCGGAACTAGGGATGGCAACAAAACTCGAACCCAAAGGTACCCACCAACCCAATCCGGTCAACGTGGGTAAAATTCGTGTTGATGCGTTTTAGGCCGGGTTTGGGTTTAAACCCATTCACTATTCATTACGGCAAAAACCCATCGGTACCCATGAACTCGCGGATACCCACCGAGTTGGGTTGGGTTTGAGTTTTTCAAATCCAAGGGTTTTACCCCGGGTTTTTTTCATGGGATAAACTCATGGGTTTGGCAAACCCGACCCAACCCGACCCATTGACATCCCTATCTGAAACGGTATGTGTTGTGAGGAGAAATTCCCGTGCCGGCCGGTATTTATGGTCGAACCGAACTCCAGTGAAATACCGGTCGATTTTTATCAGACCGTCGGTACTTTACTTACAAGGTTTTTATTTCCAAAATCCCTATTCTCCATTCTGGTTGGCAATCGGATCTAGTCGCCCACCACGATAAAAGACTCCAACCCCTCTCGTCACAGGCTCTTCGTCTTCTCCGTGGCGATCCACGCCGTTGTTCCTCGTTGTTAGTTCACCTTGCCCGGCTAAGCTTACTCGAGAGGGTCACAGCAGGGAGATGAAAGGTTCCGATCGAGCTTATTCGAGAAGGTCTCTGGGTATTAGTAGAGAGAGAGAGAGAGAGAGACGTAGGATGATTATTATTTCTGGGGAGTATTGGGTTAGAGGGAGGCGGAGCGGCGTGGAAGCAGGGCCGTCCCATGATATTCGGAGGCCCTGTTCGAAAATTTAAAATGTGGCCCTAAAATTCTTCTCGACAAATTTATTAAAAATAAAAATTATTAAATAATTATAAAAAAATACATAGTCTCAGAAAATGATTACAAAAGAAATAAATGATCACGTTTCTAGTTTGACGAAGAAACCAAAACCAAATTCCCAGGGCTGTCTAATGCTTCGTGGGGGCCTTGTTCCAAAATTGAGACGTGGTCTAAATTGACTTTTAACTATAATAAAACTAAATTGACTGTAATATCTTTCTACATAGTTTAAAATAAAATTAGGGTAATGTCTACTTTTTATCCAAACCTTTTTCAGGTTCTTTTATATTATCCAAACCTATTAAAAATTTATTAATTAGCCAAATCTTTCATAATGCATCAAAATATTAGTCATTTTTACGTTATTGTTAATAATTCTGTAACTCTTTTCTTAGTTAGAATACTAAAATTTTGGAATCTTGACCTTCATGTGTCTCTTCCAAGTCCGTATCATGTTGTCAAGTCAATATTACTAACAAAAATGCTAACCGAAAGTTAACATTCGGCTAATTTTTAGTATTTCGATAGGTTAGGATATTATAAAACAATCTGAAAAAGGTTTGGATAAAAAATAGACGTTACCCATAAAATTATCTATTATCTTTCTTATTTTCGTAGTCTTCATGATATCATTTTTAATTGTTATTATAGCTAAAATTATCTATTAAAATCGTCATCATACTTATAATCAATCAATCATATACTAAAAATACAATCTACAATGTACGATCGGTAACTGACGGATCTAAGTGGAGGCCCCTAATATTCGGAGGCCCTGTGCCGGAGGGCGGACCAGCACACCCTCTAGGCCGGCCCTGCGTGGAAGGGGAGATGGGAGATGGAATTTGGAGGTGAGATAGAGGGTCGTTTGTTAGGTTTAGGTTTAGGTTTATATGTTTCTATGTTTTAACTTTTAATTATTAATACATAAACTATAGGTGTAGGGATGACAATGGCCCCGCGGGCCATGGGCATCCAACGGGCCCCGCCTGTCAGTGGTGGGCTGAAACCCGCGAAAACGGGCTTGTTGGCGGTGCTGGGTAAAACTACGACCCGCAAATTTCGGTGACGGGTTGGGAACGGATTCAGCGATCCCCGCCCCGTATTCGTCGCGAAACAAAACGACGCCGTTTTATACGACATATATAATCATCAATTTTAGGGTTAGGGTTTGGAGAACTCATTTTCACAAACACCCCGCCGTCCTCATCCCCGATTTTCTCTCAACTCTGTCAAGGCGAATCACCGATTTCTTCCAAATCTGTTCGATTCCGACGATTTCTCCTAATTTATCTACTATTTTTCCTTGTAAATCGACGATCCCATCACTTACAATCCTAAATCTAACCCTCAATCTAGCCCCCACCCACCTAAAATGTCTCAATCCACGAAAATGCTCTTCGAGTCGTGCATGCAGGAGATTCTTTCCCAGATCGATATAAGTATTCAATTCTCTCTTTCCTTAACCCAATTTTTGTTATACGTGTATAAATAGTTGACTAACTTCATCATTTTGTTTATCTGCAGTTCATCGAGCCCTAAATCTCGAAACCCTAGCTTTCCAGAAATCGGAATTCCCCTTTCCTGCATTCTCAGTAAGTTTGGTAGACCTTAGTTAGTTTAATTTTTTGTTGTTTGTGATTGCTTAGTTCGTCAGAAACACTAAATCGCTAAGCATCCAAAATGTGCTCTTTGTTTTTGCAGATTTCTGTTCGTGAGTCTCATCAAGCAAGTGGTGCTTCAACTGCCTGTTGCTGAGGTAAATCGACGATCTTTTGTTTGATGGTTCTTGTTTGTTGCTGTTTATTGTGTAATGTTTTTACCCTAATTTAGTGAATTCATAGGGTAATCACCTTGAATCAAACATAGTACTATTACTAGTGTGTTGTGTCTACTGATCAGAGTCATTCTGCTAAACGGTAATGCTTAGTGTGATTCTGATGTTGGAATATTTGAATGCCTCGTGTAAGAAGTCTGTGTAATGGTAATGGTTGATAGCTAAGTTCGATGTTTGTTCTTGTTGCTAAGTTCGAAATGTTAAAATGCTAATGTTCACTATTTGGAGTTGTTTTTGCTAATCCTAAAAATTTGTAAACTGTAAATTATCTAATGCAGCCAAATCCCAACTAAAACTTTATCATTTTTGGGAATCCTACTGACTAACCATAATCTTTTGTAGTGCTGATGATCGAATCCCTTTTTTTCGAGGATTCAATCATCATTGCAGAATATAAAAGTGGTTAATCATTGTCCTTATTACCTAATATCCAATCGTTGAACTCTGATTTCGTGAACATTACTGGTATCCTTTTTAACCTTTCTATTTTGTCTTTCTTTTAATCAGATGGGATGTGAACAAATTGTGACTGCATTAGTTCAGAAGAACAATGGAGAACAAGTACTTCCTCCTTCTGATAATTCTGAAAACCTTCATGAAGATGTTGTTCCCCAAAATCCCTTAGGTGCTAATAGATGCTTAAAGTCTGATGTGTGGCCTCACTTCACCAGACTGTAAGAAGATTTTGGTTGGAAAATCGAGTAATGGTACTTCCCATCTTAGGACTCATAGGAACCGTTGTGTTCATAAACAAATTCACGATGGTAGTCAAAAGGTCCTTGGTGCTAACTATAGTGTCAAGGGAACAACTGATCTGAGTACGAATCAGTTTAGTAGTGAGGTGTCTAGAAAGGAGCTCTGCACCATGATCTTGGTGCATGAGTATCCCGTTTCTATTATTGACCACCTTTATTTCAAAAGTTTTTGTTGCACCTTGAACCCTCTCTTCAAATTTCTGGCGGGAGGCTTCTTGATCCCCATCGGAGCAGACTTGATCCTGCAATAGTAGAAGCCATGATGATATTAAGGACTTGGATTCAGGATGATAGAAAGGTGACTTTTTTTATATTTCCATTCTGAATTATGTTTACTTTACTATTGTTTCATTTTCTTGCTAATTATATTGTTTACTTGAATCTTGCTATAATTCCTAGTCTGCCGCTGAATTCAAAGCATTGGAGGGAGTTTTCTCTACTATGGCAATGGATGATGCCACAGTGGAAGAGAGCACATGTAACTGACTGTACTTGTGTAATTTTTTATTCAGTTCAGCTTGGAATTTTACTAAACAGACTGTTATGTATCAGATGGAGCTGGAATGCAAAAGGAGTTGGAAGGAGATGAAGACGAGGTTGCTGCAGTCATCAACCTGCTAGACTAGCTATTGGTGTATGTTCAGTTTCTTTTTTTACTGCTAAAGCCTTGTTATTGCTGGAATTTTACTAAAGCCTTGCAAAACATAGTAATATGAAGTTGTAAATGTTGCTGGATTTCATGAACTCTTAATCTCATTGAAAGAAGATGCAAGGACGAGAAAGAGCGACTTAGGGGTGAAGATTCAACACTGATTGTTGCTGTTTAGAAATTAGAATGGCTTCTTTTTTAGTTTTCTGTGTTTCATTGTTGCAGACTTGCAATGACATTTCCGAAGTTTGTTAGCTGGGATTTTGCTACACTATGTTAGTTTCAGTTTTGGGTTTCAGTTTTTAGCAATAGTGATTCTTATTTCAGGGTTTATTTGGTACGTTATATTGTTGGAAGTTACCATGTTTCTGGGTTTGCAATTCATGGTTAGTTGTTGAATGTTATACTGACTTCAGTAATGAAAATCATTCTTAGTCATGTTTGAGGAACTTGGTTGATAGGTTGAGTGATGTTTCTAGGCAGGTAACAGGTAACCAATGACCCACGTAGGGATGGCAACAAAACCCGAATTCATGGGTACCCACCCGACCCAACCCGGTCAACGCGGGTAAAATCCGTGTTGACGGGTTTTGGGTCGGGTTTGGGTTTAAACCCGTTCACTATTCACCGGGTTGGGTTTGGGTTTAGGTAAACCCGACCCATGGGTACCCGCCCACACCCATATAATTAATTTCTCGATATATTTAATATTCTAAACAACTAATCTTATTTATGTTTGTGGAGACATGTCTAATTTTTTCTTTCTAATTGTGTAGAATGAAGTTGATGTTATTGAGTGGAGAGTGAAAAAACTTAATTGACAAGGAGAAAGGAGCTTTCAATTAATCATGTTATTTATGGATAATTTGTGATTTGCTTCAATTGTCTTGTGTTTTCTAGATTGGCGTTGAACAATTTGTATAGTTAATTTGTGATTTGCTTGAATTTTTTAGAATGATGTTTTATATATGGATAATTTTTATTGAGAGATTGATATTTGACTTTAATTTTGATAGGAACTTGTTATTGTAAATTTTTAACGACAAAACCCCGTGGGTACCCATGAACCCGCGGATAGCCGGATACCCAACGGGTTGGGTTGGGTTTGAGTTTTACCCCGGTTTTTTTTTTCACGAATAAACCCATGGGTTTGGGTTTGGCAAAACTCGACCCATTGCCATCCCTAGACCCGCGGGTTCACCGAAACCCGCTTGGTCATGGGCTTGCTCCAATTTTTTTGCCCATGAAGCCTAACGGGCCGGTACGGGTTTTACTCGTGGGCATAAAGGGCGGGAAATGGATATGGGGCACCCACCCTATATCCGACCCATTTCCATGCCTATAAAGGTGATTATATAATTCTCAAAACTAGACTATAAATCAGCGGGTTAATTGCATGGTTGGTCACTGAGATTACAAAAAACGTTCAAGTTTGGTCACTCGAAATATTTAAATCCATTGCTGGTACTTCAGTTTACTAAAATCGTTCACGTTTGGTCACTCTCCGTCCAACTCCGTTAACTTTTCCTTACGTGGCGGTCAATTCTAAAAGTTGACCGTTAAATTTGTAACGTGGCAGTCTAAAAATAATAAAATAAATCTTTTTAAAATTCACTCATTTCCACCTCATTATTACATTTATTAAAAGAGCCTCCAGAGCTTTCCGGGACCGCCCTACATTGTCCAAGCTTCTCATCGTCATCACCGTCGGGTAAACAATTTCGTGAAAAAGGAAAACATATCTCTGTTTTGCTCTTACCATGCTTTAGTTTTTATTCTGTTTCTACAATGGTGTGCGTGATTTAATTTTGCAGCGCGGCCGGCGGAGGCCTTTTGGCGATTTCAGATGCGTCGCCGTTTGGGAGCTTGACCGCCGGCAAGTCAGTGAACGACGGCGGGAAGAAGAAGAAGCTGGTGGTGTTGGGAACAGGGTGGGGACTGGGAAGGGACTACTTTCCTCGAGAATGTCAAGACTTCTGCCTACGACGTTCACGTCGTCTCGCCGCACAATTACTTCACCTTCACTCCTCTCTTGCCCAGCGTCACCAATGGCACCGTTGAAGCTCGCAGCATCGTCGAACCGATCCGGAACATCGTTCGCAATGTAATCGTTCAACTCAACTAATCTTAGATTCAACCAGCTTTTTATGAAGAGATCTTGCCCGTTTGTAAACAATTTATTGTGTCTACGATTCTTATTTGTATGTTAATTAGATCGTATTAATCTCTTGTTTAGCGTGATTGCTCATGTTTATTCCATCTACATTGTTTGAATTTCGGGTCAATGGTTGTAGAACGAAATGAATCATACGCTAAATCGACACCGATGGGGAAGTTTTCGTCGTAGGGTGGGTGGTCGGCCTTGAACACGGCGTCGGGGAGGTAGTTGTTGTTCCCGGTGTCGACGGTGGAGTCACTGAAGATGATGACGGCGGTGTAGTTGGGAAGCTTCTGGTTCGGGGAACAGTCATAACCATTTTGAGAAATCACTAGCAGCTCTTGAGGTGGAGGTTTAAAGAAAGCCCAACAATGAAAGCGGCAGCCGGCAGCGATGACGAAGTATGCTGCCCGCGGGGTATTGGGGATTAGAAGAAATTAGGATTTTTTGTTTATTTTAAATAAAAGTGATAATAAGGTGGAAATGAGATGAAAATTTTTAAAAAAATTAATTTTATTATTTTTAAATTGTCACGTCACAGTCAACTTGTAGAGTTGACCGCCACGTAAGCAAAAGTTAACGGAGTTGGATGGAGAGTGACCAAATGTGAACGGTTTTCGTAAACTAAAGTACCACCAATGGATTTAAATATTTCGAGTGACCAAATTTGAACGGTTTTTGTAATCTCAGTGACCAACCATGCAATTAACCCATAAATCAGTCATCAAACTTTTCACTCTTAAGATTAATTGTATAATTGTTATGTTGCACGTTTGTTGACTATTATAGGTATTTATTAATATTTTACAATTTATTATCCGGTATTTTCCGATATTATTCCGGTATTACTCTGACACGGTCCCACATTTTGGCCGGTACGATTTTTTGAGAAAAAATTCCGGTACTAAACGGTTGAACCATGGTCGTACCACAAAATACCCTACCAGAAACAAATCTGATATGACGTCCGGTACTGTTTCCTGAACCATGATTCTAACACTTACGTGTTAACATCATGTTAATACTTACTAGCACAGGGCCTAGCCCGTAGGTTGGAAGAATTTTAGTGAGAAATAGGATATATGTAATAATGGATATAATAGATTATTTGAAATGCATGAAATGATTGTTTTCCCCTTAATTATGCACATAATATTTTTGAAAGTGATCCAACTATGCATAATGTGTGTAGACCTCCATGAAAAGAGAGAAAAATATATAATATAAACATTACATATAATTTAATGAAAAAAAGAAATAAATATAACTAATTGTCATTTATTTCTTAATCAAACCATATAGTTGAATATTAGAGTTGTTTCTCATAATACATACATAATCAACCTTTAGGATGAAACAAAATATCTCTCATAGAGTTTAGTATGTCCTTTAAGTTTTCCCCAATATAGAGCATTCTTTTTACCACACTGTTGGTAATGAATCTGAAGTTGTTTGATTTGAAATATATAAGACATAATGTTGACTTATCGCTAATAGTTAGTTGGATAATGTGTTGTGTAAGGACTTACCAAATTATTCTCAGATTGCAGACATGTATAGCAACAATGTAGTAATTTTCACGCAACAAATATTTGTCATGAAATAATTCAATAAATAAAAACCTATAGGATTTTGCTACGGTGACATGCATGTCACCGTGACATGGACTTTTCGGTCGACCGAATCCAACTTGCGGTCGACCGAATGGACTAATTCATGTATGTTGGGTTCCTGAAGGCGGTCGACCTCTTACAAAATGCGGTCGACCGCTTTGGTGGTCTAACAGAATGAAAGGTCGACCCAAATATCTCATAGGCCGACCCTTGTGCACCTAACAGGTCGACCGCATTATGAAGAGGTCGACCGCCTTCAGACCGTATCCGTATTGGATATAGATTCCAACACCAGAAAGGTTCCACAATTGGACAAGGAAACGAATTGGGTCGACCCATTCACGTCCTAAATATCTATAAATACGAATATGAGTCCCCTTCAACGCCACCAAGTCTGAATTAGGTTTTTTTCCGACTTAGAGCCTTTGTGAAGAAGATCGTTCGCGGTTGCTGTTGTACGTGTTGGAAGTGGTCGACCAGGTCTAAGGTGAGGTCGACCTAATGTAGCATTCGCCGTCTTCTTTTTTAATGCGTGATTTCCACCGGCTAACTTGATATATTGTTGGGTGCAGAATTCAATTCGGTCGACCGTGACGTCAACCAGGTCGACCTGACGAGACAATTCTTCGTATTTGAATTTAGGCCACAACACTTGGACTTCTGTACTTGCGAGGTAACCCAATCGGTCGACCTAATGAGTTTCAAGGTCGACCGTATATGTTTTTTTGGTTATTCAACCTGAATGTCGACTTTGGCTTTGTTTGTATGACTATGTTGTGCTTGAAAAGGTCGACCGCGCCAGATATCTGGTCGACCTATCTTTTTTTCGGTTTAATTTTGAGCTTACTATTTGTTTGTAATTGTTATTTTCCTGCTGGATAGGTCGACCTAGGAATAACAGAGGTCGACCTGACGAGTTGTGGTAGTCACTATTTGTCTTACAGGTCGACCTAATACTTTGTCAGGTCGACCACGTCTTTGTTTTTTGGTCAATTGTAGAAATTTGTACTTGAATTATGATTTTAATTTTTCTTTAAATTGTTTAGACGATGACGCATGATGAGAAACTGCATCAAGATTTGGGTGAAATCATGAAATTGTTGAAAGCCACACAAGAGAAGCTGGTGGTGTGTCAAACACAAGTCGAGCATTTGTCAGTTCGAGTGACAGATATGACTGGGATGATGCATGACGGGTTTGAGAGGCTAGAAGGTGCTATCAAAGATATAAGTGCAGAACGAATGGAGAATGGCGGAAGAAATGGTAAAGGAAAGAAATTTGACTTTGGTAAAGAGGAGGAAGACCATGATGACTCTGAAAATT